GAGGGCGCCATGTGTTGGCCGTCAAACTGCTTGAAAGCTGGCCGTATAGAAGAATATATAATCTACATATATATATCTATATATACATATATATAGGACACTATAAAGCACGTGCTTTATAATGTCTTATATATGTTCGGTATATCTAAACACGTTGAGTCATCAAACGTGGCTGTTGTTCTGTGAAAAAAGATGACTTCATGAACAAAATGTATAAAAATAGTTTTTTTAAAGATGTGTATGTATCGGTACTAAAACTAAAATACATAGAGTCGTATGCCGCAATTAGAACACGAAAAATTTGAAGTTGACTCTCTCTCAAAAAATTAATTTTGTTGTATTGTTCATAGTTTCCATATCAAGTGGAAATTAAAAGTCGACTTTCTTCGCGCCAGAAGGAATGAGCTCTAACTTTGNGTCGTTTCGTTTTCAAAACGCCAGCAGATAGATGGCGCTTCATCAGTGACATCTATCTGCTGGCGTTTTGAAAACGAAACGACCTCGACACTTTATTCAAACATTATTATTATCTAGAAGAACAAACAAAGTTTTCTGCAAAGTTAGAGCTCATTCCTTCTGGCGCTAAGAAAGTCGACTTTTAATTTCCACTTTGAATGCGTATTTGTACAAACCTAATTTTTTAATATTATTCTGTTTCTGTGAATTTTTTGTATTAAGTTTATTTCAATAAATGAAGCATCAGAAGCGTTGCATCAACAAATGAAAAATGCATGGCCTAATCATAGCGTTTTGTTCACGACTGACGAGGCTATCGACTGATGTGATTTTGAAATAAGGTTTGAGTTTTCAAAGATCTGCAAGTTTCGAGACACGGACTCATATTTCCCTTGTTTGAAGATCGGTTTCTTAACGCTGATTCTTATAGAATTCAACGGGGTCATTCCATTTGATGTAAACACAAAGCTCCATCAAAGCATGTCCTCTACGTATAGGAGACTCTGCGATGGCAGTCGTTCTGCTACAGAACACTGTTTTCATTTATGAGAATGCTTTTCACATAACTTTTTCCTAGTGAGTCACAAATCTATGTTCTCAGCTTTGTAATCATCATTTAAATCTACGCCAGAAAAATGTATATCATTTTTTTGTGCACTTTATCAACGCATTGATGGAACACACGAGTCCACCCTGCAGAACTTTTGTGAGATATCGATGTTAAAACCCGTTAATCATGAAACGTTGCTGCCAGTTTCTGAAAAGAAAAGTGTCTCTTTTTACAAGGGTAAAATCGCATTGTCACGAGAACAAAAAATGAACCATTTTCTTGGTTAAGGTCTGTTCAAAACTAAAGCTACTATTGTATGATGTGACTTAGAAGAAATTTTGGAGTTTTCAAAGATCCTGAGGTCACTAACAAGCCGAAGTTTTCAGACATTCTTCCTCCTAATGTTACCGAATTTTTACATTGAATCTTTATAGATCTGGTCAAGTCCTTCCTTTGAAATTAAAAAATGAAGATTTATTCCTAAATTGTTTATTCATGATCAGGAAGGCTGTACACAGATAAAAATATTACGTTACCATCCACGAAGAAGGATAGAGTAGTCTAGGGTAATTATAACCAGGCGCACATTTTCGTTCAGTATTTTACGAATGGTTGAACCATTTTTAGTCGGAGAAAATGGTGACTACACAGGTAGATACATATGACTTTCAGCTATGCACTGATGTAAAAATTGTCTGAAAATTCATTATTGTGAATTAGTGCCATTCCATTTCCAGTGCGCTACTCTTAAATGGTTATAATTATCCCATTTGGGGTAATTATAACCATCACAGCAAAAACGGCTGAGACGATGTAAATTAACTTTGATCCAACGGTAAACTTTCACCTTTTCAATTAAAAATTAGTCCATCTTATAGGGAATTTCGAGCTTTATCCAACCTCATGAATTTCCAGTCAATCAGCCTTACCCTTAATTACTTAATGAGAAATTAGTGAAATCAAAAGCCAAGTCATTTTTTTCGATATACACGAACTGGGGTAATTATAACCACACTGCTATTTTTCATGGGAGAATTATAACCACTCCGTGCAAATCACACGGAATAAAGAGAAAAATGTTTGCATAGGTTTCCAAAGCCCGATTTTCATAAGAACCTTGCCGCTAAACTTCCATTTTTTTGTAAAACTAATAATATATGTTATGGTGTTTTCGACAACTTCGATTTGTTCGAACTTTTCGAGTGAGACGTACATCAGCCGATTCAGTTTTTGGTGCTGATTTCAAATATATTATTAGTTTTACAAAAAAAATGGAAATTTAGCGGCTTCAAGTGGCAAAAGCAATGGCGCATAATATTTTGCATGTTAAATTACAAGAAGCCTGGCCTGAACGAGTGACGCTAACAACAGCAGCAGCGCTGCCCGGTGCAGATGAAAGCGAAAGAGCCAGTTTGCTACTTTTACTATCACCAATATCATTAATAATGGGCGGAGCCCTTAGACGATAGCGTTAATCATTGATTTTTTTTTTAATATAATCAAGATTGTAACTGAACTTGTTATTTTGTAAAACATTTTATTATATTATAATATAATTTACTATAATAATTTTATTATATTTTTCGACTGATATATATCCCTACAAAGATGTCTCGTATAATAGTTCCGATTTGGGGGAGGTAGCTCAAACAAAGCGCGACGTATATGTTTAATAATTTTTTTTCTGTTTTCTTACTGATCATTTTTTTTAGAATCTTTCCGTCAAAATTTTAACTCTCCTGCTTAAAAAGCAATTGGGGTTCCTCATCTCGTAGCAGAATGTATAGATGTTTCTTTGTAAGCCCTTACACTCTCACTTTAGACATAACCACCAAACGATAAGAATGTGTATAAAATTCTTTCATGTTAATTCGATATGAGTTTGTTAATTAGTTAGCTATTGTGGAAGTAGTAGTGGCTGTTCGATGTCAAGAAACAAATTTTAGAAATAATTTATCTTTAACTGAAATGTTTCCCTTTCCCTTTTCTCAATTATGATATTTTATCTATGTAAGTAGTACTGTATGGAAATCCCATTTTTGTTATTTCATCTAGATGAAATTCAATTTTATTATGATATAATTGCCTGATTTGTGATAGATTCAGTGAATGAATATTGACTGTATATAATGCCTTACACAGTATGATTACTATCCATTTAAAAAGTAGTGCACCACACGATCTTGGTAACAACCTCTCTCTTACGAAATATGTTTCTTTTTCGAATCTTTCAGTTAACCGGTCGATTAACCGGAAGTTAAGCGAAAGATCAATTATTTCCCGTTTGGGAAAGATGTATTTCCTGATCGAAAAATCGTGTGATACGTTGCACTCTTCTTAACGCCTGTTTGACTTTTGGAGTGCCAAGTGGGTATGCACCGGTATCAGTATACACTGTAAAAAATAGTCGTAGATTAATAAACTATCAAAAAGGGTTTATTGAGACCAAGAAACCTTTTAAAAAACGCTTTTCTGTTTTTTATATCCAAAAAACTAAAAAGCGTTCGTGACAGATGCAAAATGAAAACCGGGCGATTTTTTATCAAAAATAAAAAACCCTTTTCAGTTTTTTGTCGAGTTTAAAATACCAGCTAAAAATCTCTTCAGTTTTTTAGCTAGTTTTTTAGACTCGAAAAAAAACTGAAAAGGGTTTTTTATTTTTGATAAAAAGTCGCCCGTTTTTCATTTTGCATCTGTCACGAACGCTTTTTAGTTTTTTGGATATAAAAAACGGAAAAGCGTTTTTTAAAAGGTTTATTGGTCTCAATAAACCCT